TGTTTTCTTATTTAGTGTTGTTCGTTGACAGGCAGTTCTGTGTAGGTGTGGGCGGTGGGGTAGCCTAGTGGTTACAGCGTTCGCTTTTCACGCCAAAAATTCCGGGTTCGATTCCCCTAATGGGTACCATGTGTAAAGCCCATTTTTGTGTCCCCCCTGTAAAACTGCTGGAATATCGCTAGAAGCGGCGTAAAACTAAACTCACTCACTCTATATAGCCGGAATAGTGCTGGATAGTGCTAAGATGAAGTTGGTCTGTCTAAACGTTGTTGGCAATTCCAGTCGCGAGCGTTACTAAGCACCTATGGTTGTAGGGGGCGTGGATAAAGTGGATAAAGCGTTCGCTTTTCACGCCACAAATCCGGGTTCGGTTCCCCTCATGGTCACAAAGCGTGAAGCCCATTTTTGTGTCCTCCGCCGTGATGTTGTTGGAGTATTGTTAAAGGCGGCGTAAAACTATATTCATTCAATCCCTCGATTTCCCCCCAGTGACCTTGTATATGATAAAGGTCACTTATCCTTAAGTTTAACTTGCAGCGTCAACAGTAGAACGGGAACGTAGACAGAGACCGTCATTAAACCCAATTAGGAACTTATTAACATCAAACATTTATCATTCTGTCACTACAAGGACGTGCATTAAGCACATTTAAACACTCTCTCTGGTTTAGCGCCGAGATACAGTATCCAGACTCAGGGCTGGTCTAAATGAAAACAGGGCCCGGAAGATGTATGAACATGAACTCACGCAAGCGGAACACACACCCCTGCCAGAAAATGTCATTTCAAGGTTGTAACAGTTTATTTTGGTCAAATCATTTACTACTTTGCTTCCATTTAAGCTGACACGCCTTATATAAGAAAAATACCAATCAAAGCACCGTTCAACTTTATGTGCATACAATGTTTGATGGATGTACTATATAATACAATTAATCACAAGGAGTTTGTTTCCCGACGCCTGACAAATGCGACCGTTTGACAGACATCTTTAATTCCACGCTGCCGACGAAGCAGCAGAGATTGGTTTGGGTCACAGTGACATTTTCAGAGACTTCGGATTTAATCTTAAAGTTATTCTTTCTAATTGTAAAGAAATGACTTTCCTGGAGCATTTCAACAAAGTATCCATGAAGCCGTGATGAGAGCTGGTGTTGGGAGGCCTGAGATATTGAACTGCAGTGAAATGGTGTGCAAATTTCAGAGGAAACTGTTCTCAATTTAAATTAAAACGTTCAAGTGCCATTGAAAGAAGCAGGGGGGAGAATGTGGCTCTTTACTGTTTTTATTGTTACTACTACGACTGCTACTACGGCTACTATACCGATACCACTACATTAACTACTGCAACAACAACTACTGCTACAAGCAACAAAACTACATCATCACCATAATCAGTCCTCCTCCTCCTGCTGCTACTACTACTACTACTGCTGCTGCTGCTACTACTACTACTACTGCTACTACTACTACTACTACTACTGCTGCTGCTGCTACTACTACTACTACTACTACTACTACTGCTGCTACTACTACTACTACTACTACTACTACTACTACTACTGACCCGTGAAGATCCGGGGTAGAATAGGTCTTCAGCAACCCAGGCTTGCCACAAAAGGCGACTATGCTTATCGTAAGAGAAGACTAACGGGATCGGGTGGTCAGGCTCTCTGACTTGGTTGACACATGTCATCGGTTCCCAGTTGCGCAGATCGATGCTCATGCTGTTGGTCTAGACTCAATTATTTACAGACCACCGCCATATAGCTGGAATATTACTGAGTGCGGCGTAAAACTAAACTCACTCACTCACTTCTCTCAGCGAGTTTGTCGCTGCTCAGACCAATATTTCAGTTATATCATGGCTGGTGAGTTTCAAGGTATTGGATCACCACAACTGTCGGTGAAACTGGGATACGACGACCACCCGATCCCGTTAGTCGCCTCTTACGACAAGCATAGGTTGTTACTACAGATCAATTCTAACAATTACGTAGATCGTTGATCATGATGTTGATCACTCAATTGTCTGGTTGGATGTTGCTAAACGCCGCATTCAGCAGTATTCCAGCTATATGGCGGCGGTCTGTAAATAATCGAGTCTGGATAAACAGCATGAGCATCGATCAAGGCAATTGGGATGTCAACGAGCCTCACCACCAGATCCCGTTAGTCGCTTGAAGATCAATTCTAACAATTGATCAACAGTATGAGCTTAGATCGTTGCTCATGATGTTGATCATCGGATTATCTGACCCAGATTCGATTATTTACAGACCGACACCATATAGCTGGAATATTGCTGGGTGCTGCGTTAAATACCAAACAAACAAACCTACGCTGTAGGCAAAACAAAAACAAACAAAAAACCATGATCACAGAAGATGTCGATCAATCACTTTACGGATTCTCAAAGGACACAATTTTCGAATGTTTATCAAGTTCTCCACGATTCTTTCTATCACAGCCCCCCAAAAATCCAATTACTATTCTCCTC